GATAGGGGCAAGTGTGCTCCCTTTTCCTTTTGGAGTCATTTTCTCTGAAGTCCTGCGTTTTAATTTTTAACCTTGGGCTGAACCCAGGGAATTCCCACATGGGAATGAATGTCAGCAGAATTGGCTTATAGCAAAATCTCTGGTACTGTTGCCACTGAGAGTAGCTTGTACAAGATAGCAAATATTAAATAGCCGAAAACACATTAAAATTTCAAAAACCCCAAAGCACCAGGCAACACATTTTAAGCAGTATTTTCAAAGCACATGATACAGAGGAGAATGGGAGCTAATCCTCTTTCATTCTTTCTCTGACAACTGCTACATAAATTAAAAGCATTTACTTGTAAATTATAGTGTGATCATTCATATTGGATACCTCTGTGCAGGATCACAAACACATATAGTTCACCCAGTGTCTTTTATTTATTATCTAAAATATCGATATCTTCCATTAATGGTGATACAGAGTGTATGATGGGCAGCTAGTACAGACAGTGAAGAAGGTGGGCATAGTTTCCAGCATGAGGCAGGAAACTATAATGACCAAAAGCTAACCACCAAGGCTTCTTGTTTTTCAGAAAAGAAAATCAGAAGGTACCCTGTCATCCTTGGTAGCAGCCCTCATCTTAGCTGTGAACCTCTGTCCAACATCGCTAACTTCCTCTGGATGTTTAACAAGAGCCGCTTGCTGAAAGAAGAGGCCAAATATCTCATCCATACAAAAGGACTGATTGTCTTTAATGTAACAGTTGCAGATACTGGGCTTTATGAATGTCAGTCTGTTGAAAAAGTCAGTGGGAGAAAAAATTGGGTAACAATGGCTGTCTATCTCCTTCAACCCCAGCCAGAGAAAGGTTTCTATGGCCCTAAGTGTAACTTGGCAAACCAGATGTGTTCTGAAATAGCAGGTCCAAAAGGCGAATCTTTGGCAGTCCCAGAGACAGAGAATCCAAGACAAAAGCCATCTAGAAGAATCCAAGGCTCAGTGTTCAGTTTAATAGCTGTGGGGTCTGCCTTTGCCCTCCTTTTCTTCCTTTTGCTTTCTTGGAACGTTTACAAAGGCTATATCTCCCTGCCCTGGAAATCTACATGTAAAACATCAGCAGATGCAGCTGAATCAGCAAGTCCAGAGATGAGTCTGGAACAAGTGGACCTTACTCAGACCAGCTCACCCTCACAAACGATGACCATCTTCACTGACAGATCAACCCCATTGATGACCTCCTCCAAAGTGGAATGCAGCATGAAAATGAAGCCAGACATTAACTCCACTAAAGGTGGGATAATGTGTGGTTCTTCAAATTGTCTGGTCATGGATGAAACCAACATTCCTGATGAAAGCCATGAAATACCTGATTGCGCCAAGGGAAGGAGTTCAACACCTCTTTTATCCCACAAACTAGTTGCTATGTAAGCAAACATCTTTTAGCTTTTTTTAAATGAGTTATTAGATTTCTTTGGGACCCACCATTTTTCTCCTGCCATTTTCAGAGGTTCTGAAAAATAAACCTTTTGAAAGAAAAGTTTTTATCAAGCGTCATTCTTTACATTTCTCCATACTGTTTCCCATATTTTCAGACCACTGTGGGAGAATGGCACCATCCATTGAGCTAAATTATAAATGCTTCTCATTTCTCATTCTAAGATTACTATTAGTGTAGCTATTTAAAACAGAGGAGTATTATGTATGGATTCCAGGATGTTCATGAAGAACATTTTCTGTTTACACTAGACAAACCCTTTATTTTAAAGATGGAGTTGTATTTTCCATTGTTGTACAGTATTAATTCCATTTGTAGTCACCTTTGAGTTTACACACACTAAATGTTGTAAACTTTTGGCTAAAGTTCAAGAATTGTATTGATCCATAAGGACTCTCTGCCATTGTAATGATTGCATTCCAAAAATCTGGCTAATTAGAATTAGAGACAGTTCTTGCATCTGAGATTTCATTTTAGAATGTATAAGAATAAGAATAATTTACCCTTTGAAAAAGCTACCTTCCATACTTATTTCTGAATCACTGATTTGTAGCATGCTTCTGAAATGGAAGAAGCAGTGATTCATGTAGACATGCAAAAGTAATCTCTTTCTTGGAGCAGTGATTTTGTTTCTGGTAACTGAGCCAGTTATGCCAGATATTGAAAAGCAATGAAATTCCCCACTTTGTGATTGGCACTGAGCAACCCCAGAGCAGTGACTTTTCCAGGTGTGCATCAGGCACTCTCCTCTGTAAGCGCATCATTCTGTTTTGGGAATTACTGAAGGAACTAATGGCACCTAATGCAGAAATAGGGCATCATCTGCCCTCTCCAAGTGGAGGCTGATTGGAAGGAGATATGCTTAAAGCAGAGAATGAAGCAGAGAGTCAGCAGGCAGGCTGCTGAGCATCTCTTGAAGAAGATAGCTTTGAACATTAGTTCTTCTGGCAGACTAGCTTTTCTAGCAGCTGCAATGAGAAAAATAGATGTTATTCCTTAAAAAGTATGATCAGATAAATATTCTGAAAATGTCATGGCATCCTGGATTTACTCTGGATCTGAAGTGATGTGACCTTTCTTTGCTTTTGCTTCACTTTCACTGTCTTTTTATTACCACTGGTTACAAAAGGCTAAACTTTAAGTATTGAAAGAACATTTTGAAAAATAGAGCAGACAGCATCCCCAACTTGCTAGCAATGGGCTATCTAATATTGACAGCCTTTTTTAGAAACTAATTATCTGGCACAAGGCAGATTATTTTAATTGGGTCAACAGAAACAGGAGATGAATGTTGGTGGTATCACTTTGGATATCATGTCTTGTTCATCTAAAATTCAGAAGTGCATCCTTGAAACTTGCAGTTGGAATTATTAAGGGGCAATTTATTTGGGGCATTAATTACTCAGCTGTTCACAAGTTTCCACATGAAGTTCTCACTGAGACTTGTGACTCACAGTCTTGAGATGTTGTTGCTTGAACAGAAGGTTGGGCTCAGGTCTTACTGTAATCCATGTTCCTTGAGGGCAAGGCAAAGGTTAGCTTATGATAGCCTGCTTGAAATTGTGGTGTATCCTCTGAAATGAAAGCAAACAGAACCTTCCTCAGTGTGGTGCTCTGCCCTCCAAATGTGTCTAGCTCCCATAATGCCTGGTAATTAAGTCAGATTGTTTCAGAATAATGGAGTTGTCCTACATACTATGAAAGATCTTTCATATTCTAAAGACTTTCTTAGGAAAAATTGGGAAAAGCTGATGTGTTCCAACATTCAGTTTCCAACAATAGCCAATCAGTAGTGAAACTGCTAACCAAATTATGGAAGCAATCACCATCTCTGCTATCTGTCCTCATTATCTTGTGTTCATGGATAGATCATGTAAAGAAGCTCCTTTGTTAATGGTCATGATGACAGCCACTGATTTAACCTTTACCTGTAAAAACTGCCTACCTGTTTCAGACAAAATCTGCCTGGTATCTCATGCATTTTTCCAACAATAGATCTTGCAAAGCTTACAAGCTAGCCACAAAAGCAACAATTACTCTCGTTCCAGACAAACATGAACTACTGCTTGTTTCTACTACTTGGTACTTGCCTTTGAATATGGCAGTGCAAGGCCTAGATTGATCATAAAGAAAAGTGAGGTCATCTCAGTCATCAGACACAGAGATGGGATAGGTAGAAAACAGCAAAAGGCTATTGAAAGAATAGACCATGTGGTCTGTTGCCCTCAGGTAGTTAGAGAATGATGTCCTAGTGCCTGTCTTAAGGTAATTGCCAGTCCAGTTGGCTTTTGTTTGTAGAAGTGTGTGTGTATGGGCCATCTTCTCCAAACCAAGCAGCAACATTTCTTGGCCTGGCCTGACTTCTCTTTCCCTCTAATTAGCATGGTAGGGTAGAGACAGGATCCAGAAGAACTTTTGTGTTTTTATCTTAGCAAAGATAGACCTTCCATGTTTCAGACGCAGCTTAGTTTTGGATACATTATCTACAAATAAACAGTATGGATGGGTTTTTATTGTTTCTAGCTTCCTGGAAGCACCTATCAGCCAAGATGCTAGAGTAAATGAGTCTTCTGTGCCTGAGCTGGCTGGACAGTACTGTTTAAAAAGATGGTAAAGATTGTGGAGATCAAGTTCTGTGAGCAACGGTATAGTAAGTCAGATATATTTAGCTTGTTAAAGTTGGCCAGATAATTGAAGGACCTCACATTGATAAAGGAGCAAATCTGCCTTTTCTTGCTCTAGAAAATAGAATCCAGAGTAATGGATTTTAATTACAAGAAAAGTTTTAATTATATGTTAAGAAGAACTCTCTAATGTTATGGGCTGTTTAAAAGAATAGAGTGAATGAGAATATATTAGATTTCCTACCTGAGACATTTCTAAGCAGAAGTTAATTATGACCTCTTGGAACTGCATTAGTAGGGGATTGGAATATGCAACCTTCAAGATCCCTTCCAATTCTATGATTCCTAATAATACATCTTTAAACAATGGCTTCAGTTCTATCTGAAAGTTGCCAGGCCAAAACTTTAGCATAGTCTTATAGCAACTTTCTTCTCTCAGTCAGATATCTGACATGTTTAAAAAGCTCTTAATTCAAAAAGGACTCTAGTGTTACTGCAGAAGTTGCTAAATCCAGGTTCCTTCAGCAGATGGCAATACAGAGCCAACAAAG